CATAATCAGTTACCTGCAGCTGTCTGTTTAGAAAGCAAGGTCTTCCTTTTTATATATCACCCATTTAGCACACACTGTAATTAACCATCCTGGTTTTGACTAATGGAGATTCAGTTAGTGCAGTAATGAGACCATGAGATGATGTTTAGAAGTTTCAGAGTAACTGTGAAATCAGGACACAGGATAAACACACCTTACAATCTATCACAAGACAGCTTTTCCCCAGCAATCAGCATTTCATATAATTATATCATCAAGCCTTGATGACTAATTGCTCATTTCCCATTTATTCTTCCTTTTTGTAAAGTACAGAAAAATCTAGCTGCTAAATATTTCCCTAGAGAAAAAAAAACTTCGCAGCAAGTTTGAGTTTTATTTCCTACATATATATTGAACTGTTTCACATTTATAAGAATCATTAGCAATAGATAATTAAGGGGGGTACACATCAATTAAGGAATTGTTGTTAAATCAATTATGTTAAATGAATGTAATGTGATACTACTGTGCTACAATCATTTCTAATAAACCAAGAATCATTTCTAAGAAACTAAGAACTATATGAACTGTTACAGGACAAAGTAAGCAGAACCAGGAAAACAATGTATACAATAACATTATAAAAACAACTTTGAAAGACTTAGAAACTTTGATCAATGCAATAAACCCATGATTTCATGGTTTATTTCATGATTTCAAGCATTCTATTCACTTCCTAACAGAGATGGTGGACTCAGCAGGGGCAAAATGAAATGTGGGGAGAAAAAATAAAATGTTAAAAAAAAAGGGGGGAATTAAATCACCCTTCATGTCACAATACCAGTTGTATCCAAAAAGTACATGAGAGGAAAATATCATTTCAGAAATCTCATACAAAATTATGAATACTTGCTAAGCACAAAAGAATAAGTTTTGCACTCAGAATTAGAAAATTAGATCTTATCTCAGTTACTTTCAAGGTAAAACGAAATTCTAAATGTGGCTCGTTTTCTCTTGTATTTAAAACAATTCTTATTGACAAACTAAAACCAGGGAATAAAGTAGAATAGACAAGGAAATTCACACACACACACACACACACACACACACACACACACACATTTCCCTTTGAGAATCCAAACCTATTTGTAGAGTGACACTTGTACTGTATAGAAAAGCTCCTGTCACCAAGAGTTTCCCTAAGATGCCTCAATAAGCTGCTTTTGTTCTTCAATGAGATGCAGGCCTTAGCTTTGGAAGCTAATTCTATTCTAAACTGGGATTGAATTGGTTTGCTTAATAACAACTTTAATCTGAACTTTTAATTCTGCTCATTTGACCATTTCACTAGGCTCCCTCTAGCTTTCAACAAAACTCAGTCCCACTGCATTTCTACATAACAAAATCCAACGGGTAGTAACAGAAAAAGAAATCCCATTCTAAATACTGTAAACACATAATTCATTAAATATCTGGGGATCAGTCTACCAAAGCACACAAAATATTTATAGAACAACTTAAATAGCTAGAGAAATATTCAGTGCTCATGACTGGGCTGTGCAAATAAAAATAAAAAAGATCTGTGTTTCATTTTCCTTATCTGTAAAATGGGAACAATAATAACAATAAATAGTACTTAGCTCACAAGGTTTTTGAGAAGATTAAATGAGATAATGTATGCAAAGCTCTTTGCAAACCTTAAAGCACTTTTATTTTTTTTTAAAAATGACAATATTGGGGGCAGCTAAGTGGCACAGTGGATAGAGCTCCGGCCTTGGAGTCAGGAAGACCTTAGTTCAAATCCAACCTCAGACACTTACTTACTAGCTGTGACCCTGGGTAAGTCACTTAACCCCTAATACCTCACCAAAAAAAAAAAGACTATTACCAAAATGTAACTTGCATTTTAAATATTAAACCAATCAAATTACCAAAGAAACATTTTTTAGAACTTGATAAAATAACGGGGGGAAAACACTTAGAAAAACAAAAGATCTAGAATATCAAGGGAAAAAATGAAAATAGGTAGTTTAGTTAACAAATTGAACAGCAGCAGTCATCAAAACTATCTGACATTGGCTAAAAATAGAGGTAGATCAATGCAACAGACTGGACAAGGCAGAATCAGAAATGAAAGAACTCAACAACTAAGTGTTCCATAAAGCAGAAAAAACAGAACTTGGTGAAGGGGGAAAAAATATACACATCATCCCTATTTGATGAGAACTAGTGTGAAAACTAGAAAGCAGTGTGATGGTTATTTTTTTATACTTTACATCATATTCTATTTTAATCGGATACATAACCTTAATATCAAAGATCATAGTATAGAAAAAAAATCAAGAAATCAATTATATGCCTCTCACAACTATGGGTGGATGTATTCATAACCTAACAAGGGACAGAGAAAATTACAAAAGATAAAATAGATAACTTTACATGAACTAAAAAGTTTCTGTACTACTACTACTACTACTACTACTACTACTACTACTACTACTACTACTACTACTACTACTAATGATGCACCTAGAAGAAAGGAAGTACATGAATTGGGGGGGGGAATCTTCCTATCAAATTTCTCTGATAAGCGTTTGGTATCCAAGAAATATAGACATAAGACCAATAGCCATTTAGTTCCATATATATATATATATATTTTAAAATCAAAGGATAGGAACACAGTTGTAAGAAAAATTGAAAAGTATTAAAAGAATATGAAAGTGCTCCAAAACACTAACAAGAGAAATGCAAATCAAAACAACCCCCAGTTTTCACCTTACATCTGCAATTGATAAAGATGACAAAAAATGACAGTAGTCAGTGTTGGACAAGTTATGGCAAGATAGGCACACCAGTATTGTTAGTGGAGCTGTCAATGAGTATAACCATTTTGGAAAGCAATTTGAAATGATGTAAATAAAGAGACTAAAGTGTCCATAGCCTTTCACCCAGATATCTTATTACTAGAGTTTATACCCCAAGAAAGTCATTGATAAGTCCCTATATAGTTTTATATATATATATATATATATATATATATATATATATATATATATATATGTATATATATATATATATATATATATATATATGTATATGTACTGAAATAGTTATATGTCAGCACTTTTTGTGAAAGCAAAGAACTGGAAACAAGAGTAGATACTCACAGATTGGGGAATGGCCAAACAAATTGTGGTACATGAATGGAATGGAGTGGAATGTACATGAATGTACAGCAAAGTAAGCAGAGAAAATAACATGCACAATTATGTAAACAAAAAGAATTGCACCTGTGGCACATACACATACACCAAAACTGAATTTTTTGAAATTATAAAGAACAAGCCCGGCTGAAAAGAGATGAGAGAATATGCTCAACTGACCCCTTTGCTAAGGTGTCCATAGATGTTACAATGTTGCACATTTTCAGACTTTTTCTCTGTATTGATTGGCTGTGATTTTTTTCCCATTTTAATCTTTTAAAAATGCTATTTGAGGGGTAGCTAGGTGTACAGTGGATAACGGCCCTGAAGTCAGGAGTATCTGAGTTCAAATCAGACCTCACACAAAACACTTGCCACTTACCAGCTGAGTGACCCTAGGCAAGTCACTTAACCCCAATTACCTAAAAATTTTTTTTAAAATGCTATTTGTTATTTGAGATGTCTGTAGGAGGTGGGGGAAGATATTGGGGAAAACTATAATGTAAAAAACAAGATGTTAATAAAAACTTTATAGTTTATCTTGCAGGCAAACCATCTGAAACCATCTCCCCACACTGGTGTTTTGTTTATTCCCCACTATTTTCATTCTTATTCCCCCATCATAAATTTTTTTTCTTCTTTTCTCTACCCACTTCCCATAATTCTAGTTAGCCATTTCCCTATACTGCATTAGTCTTCTACTTGAACATTTATAGAAAGTGTCATTAAGCTTTAGAGATGGAAGGTTAGAGATCATCTAATGCAGGTGTTCTTAACCTGGGGTCTGTGAACTTTTAAAAAAAGACTGAGGTAATTATCTCAACACAATTGGTTTCCTTTGTAATCATATGCATTTACTTAAAATAAGCACATACATATATATATATATGATGCATGAATTTAAAAATGAAAACATTATTCTGAGAAGTGTTACCAAATAGCTAAAATGGTCCATTATCCAAAAAAGGTTAAAAAATTCTCCTGCTTCCTGATCCAGGACTAATTCCAGCATACTATACTTACCTCTTGCAGTGTTAAGGGAGTTTAAGTCTAATGGAAAAAGAAAAAAAGAGGTTTCAGGGACTGCCGTGTGGGGCATGTGATGATGTTTCCAGTTTGGGGTTGTCTACTATATTTTTACTTTCAGGGGTTGTGCTTAGTGATTTATTTTGAGGGGAGCCTAGTTTTAATGGTAATGTTTTTTTCAATTGTGATGTATAAAACCATATAAGTCAATGTCAAATTCTGAATACTGTTCATATTTCTGAATACTTCTAAATACTGTTTTTTGAAAACATTTATTTTGAATACTGCTCATATTTTTAGTAGTATTACCTTTCTGGTAAAAGTAGTTAGGTGGCTCAGCGGATAGAATGCCAGGCCTGAAGTCAGGAAGACTCATCTTAAGTTCAAATCCAGCCTCAGAAATTTAGTAGCTGTGTGACCCTGGGCAAGTCACTGTTTGTCTCAGTTCCTCATCTGTAAAATGAACTGGAGAAAGAAATGGCAAACCAGTTTTGTATCTTCGCCAAGAAAACCCCAAATGGGCAGAGTTGAACATAAATGAAAATGAAAATTAAAAACTGAAATTGAAAATACAAAAACCTTTCTGATAAAACACTATCCATTTTACTTTAAATACATGCTTGGGAGGAAGAAAAAAAAACCCATATTACTTGATGTTATGACTACAACCAAATCTCAAATACTGTAGCAGCAAAATATACACTTGGTTTTACACTAGAAATAAATAAAAATTCACTGAGCCAGTATCTTCCTGTTATAGAAATCGTAAAATTTAGATATGAAAGGAAATCTTAGAAGAAATGTTTTAATAATGTTAACTGATACTACAGTGTGGAAACAAATTCTGGTTTAGTCAAAAGAGATATGAATTTTGAGACATGAGAGGACAGATTAAATCCTAGCTCAGAAACACAGTAGCTATGTTTGCTAAAGCACTGTGCTAGGTATGTGATGAGATACAAAGGCAAAACAGTCTCTGCACACAAACAGAATAATATCAGATTATTATACACTGCAAAGAACAACAGCTGTGAAAAACTAGAGAACTATGATCAACACAATGACCAAACATGACTCCAGGAGAGGAACCATGCTTTCTACCTCTTGGCAGAAGTGAGAGCCTAGAGACACAAAATGAATCATTCTTTTTCAGACATTGCCAATATGTGGATTTGCTTTGGGTCACTATACTTATTTGTTACAAAGAAAAGTTTTTATTGTTATTATTATTTTAATAAGATAAGAGGGGTAGTGATAGTCATAGTAAAAGGGGAAGGGAATGAGCATTAATTAAGTGCCTCAGATGTACCAGGCCCAGTGCTCCCTCCTTCACCAACAGTTAAAAAAATAAAAGAAATCAATGTAAAAGAGAAAAGGGCTTACATGGCTACTTTACAAGGTTTCAGGAAAGAAATCTTTAGAAATCTTTTAAAGCATTAAAGAAAATTAGTATTAATGAAACCAGAGACTTAAGTATTTAAAAAGACATAGCTATAGCAGGAGTCTTAGAAATGGGAATATGGGCTGGTCACTTACTTTATAACACTTCACATGTAATACTAATAACTATTTACATTTCTGAGGCACTTTATGATCTATAGAGAACTTTCTCCACAGCATCCCTTTGTGCAAGTAGTATAAGTTTCATTATAAGTAACCTGTCCACGGTCACAAGGGCTGTAAACATGAAAAGTGGGATTTGAATGCACACCTCCAGAGTCTCCATCCTTGTACCTCTTTATTTCAATAATATACTGTGTGCTAGCACTTGGCACAGTTCCTGGCACACAAGGGGTGCATAATAAATGAGTACTGATTGATCAAGACTGTCAGGGTACAAAGGGCAGAAAAGGAAAAAAGGATGACATGATTTGGAGAAATGACTTTCTCAACCCCTAATAAAAGTGAAATAAATATTAGAATCCTAAAAAAAAAAGTTTTTAAAAATCTAGTGGATCTGTAATCTCATCAACTTGAATGTTCCCTCTAGTGATGCAGGTTGCAGTTCATTCATACCTGTGTAACTCCTGTCTCTGTCCTTCTGTAAATTCACCACAGAGGGTTCACCCAAGGTGTTGAAGGTGTTCCTCTATATTATGAGGTATCAATAAAACAATTGATCCATCTACTTGATACTCTGCACCTTCACCACATGTTCAATCCTTTTCATATTATGCATTTCTCTCATCACAACTTTTACTATTGTTCTTCAAAGACCCATATTTGTTATGTTTAGTCAAATAAATATTAGGCTAAAAACTGTAAAGCACACTGAGTTTTGTAGTCACTCAAAATGTTGATCACATTTTTATATCTTTCAGAAACAAAATATCCACAACTAAAGCTCTGTGATAAATAGCAAGGTTAATTTATTTTCATATATGAATTGGGATTCCACTTTTTGGTACTGCTAATGCAAGTCACATTTTCCTGCTTCTGAAGGGAAAGTTAGTGACTGCAGAGCAAAGGATAAATCACACAGAGAATATTCAAGTCATCTGAGGAATAGGCAGTTAGTGAGCTGTATTCTGATGGTGCTAACATGGCCTCTAGATTTTAAAACCTTAAATCATTAAAAAAAAAAGATATCAATAGGTTTTATATATATTGATCTAAAATTTCACCAGTGACTTCCAGAATTTGAAGCACCACTTTTAAAAAGCACATTTAGCACATTCCTAAACATTTCTAATCATGTAATTATTACCAGAGGCTGAAATTAAGATATCCTCTCATTTAGCCTTATTAATCATGCAAGCATTGTAAAGGAGCTTTTCAATAAAATTGACTTTATACAAAATAAAATCTAGAAAACCTTAAAATATCTGAAAAACCATACATTTAGTAATTTTGAATTCTTTTGATTTGAATTTTTAAAATATTTTTAAAAATTGGGTGAAAGGAATAGACAATTAAGCAAACAAGTACAGGGTAGAGGACACCTGATATAAAGCAAAATGTGGTCAACAGTTCTTGAGATAATCCCTATGAATACAATATAAATGAGATTTATACCTAAGAAGCAGCTCAGGGATGATGCCTTCAGAACCAGATTCACAATTTGGATAGCAAAAAATACATATAAAATTATTCTAAAACTTCTTTTCTAGCAATTTGTCTTCCATTAATTAAGGTCCTCTGATGTCTTGACTCAATATGGGGATGACTCTAAGTTTTCAAAGGCTATGTTAGTGGAACATCACCTCTGGCACATCTGGACATGCTGGAAAGGCTGACTTTGTGGCAGTGGCAGACCATTTTGTCACCTTAAGATCAAACAAGTTAAGTTTGGAAACACAAAACATCATAGGGATTAAGACTAACTAGTTTTTTTTTTTAACCAAATTAGAAGTAGCAGCATTTATATAGCATGTTAAGGTGTGTAAATTTCTTAATAAATACATCATCCTCACAATGACCCTGGGAGGTAGATGCTATTCTTTTCCTTATTTTATAGATGAGGAAACTAAGGCAGACAGAGGTTAAGTGACTTGTCCAGGATCACACAGTTAGTGAAGTGTCTTCCTGACTTCAGGCCCAGCATCCTATGCACTGTATTACCTACCTGCCTCAGTGTAAGGACTTTGTTGCTGACATAATGGATTATTGAAGTACTTGAAGTATAAAGATAATTTAGCAAGAAAATACAGGCTAAAAATATTACAAGATTACATTTAGCTGTTATGATATCATTTAAATAATAAAAAATATAAGGGAAAAGAGGCAGTATGGCATCATGGAAAAGAGCTGGTCTCAGAACCAGGAAGACCTGGGTTTAAGTCCTGTCTCTGACATACTGATGAAGTGACCTCAATGCTCTGCGCTATTCTCTAAGATTATAAATTGTAGAGAAGGGGTTTACCTGTATTAGTAAAGAGAGTTTCCTAGATGAATGAAATCACAGATCCAGTTCTTATATGCCAATGATTATGGACACATTTAAACAACTATAAACCAGGATTAACTCTTAGTACATTGCCATGCTAAAAATAAAGGAACTAATATTTTGACAATTTTGACAGGCAGCCTAGATATAAACATCTTTTAAAAAAACCCTCAGACAAATTACTTTCAGCATCACCATCTGCTTTCCAAAAAGTAGTCACTAAATTATTTAACCCAAATTAAAAAAAAATCATTCAACAAAGGAGTAAAGATACACCTTGCAGAAAAATATGGAAGTTAATTCATTTAACCTCAGCTAATTATTATTACTACTCAATTAAGCCTCCATTTGGAGGATTCACCTAAAGAAATATACTTGTCCAAAAAACAAAGTAACTACTCCAGTGTCTTGTAGAACATTATACAGAGCATTTTATATGAACTATTATGACACTATGAGGGCCTGCTCTTGGGTGCAAATTTATAGCTAAAATATATGAATCAGAAATTTTTCACATCTCTTAATAAGCACTAAAGTTTTTTCAAACATCTGCTTTGAAATTCCAACTCCACAACAAAATCCCTTCATTTCAAGAACCATTATTTCTCTCCATGGTTTGTCATTTGAAACTTGGAGAATTAGCTGGTTCATGTATTATTCTGCCACTAGGTGACACTGTTGCACATGTAGCTTTAAAAAAATGTAATTATAACATTAAAACAGGGCTACAAATCACATTATTGTATGAAAACAAGAAAAGAAAATAAATGCTGTCTCAAAGTCAATCTACAATTTGAGAGCTTCTTATATGAAGAGACAAATGTATAAAGGAACTTTAAATTTGATCTATGCCTCATATTTCTTAATACTACAATTAATAAACCCAACATGGGTAAAATTTATTGCACCTTGAAGTCAAAAGAACTTGTTATGGGGCAAACTCCACTAATAAAAGCAAATTGAGGTTTAAAAACAAAAAAAGAAATACTTTATGGGTACTTCAAAATAAACATCAGGAAGACACAAAAATCAAAACAAACACCTATTCACTACTGGTTATTGATTTTAAAAGAATTTTCTCAGAATTTCACATTGTATGTGTCCCATTTAGTTTCTAGTTCTTAGCAGGCACTTAGTTGTTCTGGCAAAATTATTGCCTCTTCCTTAGGAGAGTCTGGCCATTCACTTTTACAGACTGACTGTTTTTTGGTCCTGAATGTACAAAGTTCCAATCCACCGGATTAAGCAGCTGCTGAGTCTTCTTGTGTGTCCAGTATGGGTTAATAATTAATGTAAGGAGGGCCAGTCCAACAAGGAAAAGTGCAAGGTGTGGATGAGCCAGACTGTTGAGTAGATCATCCCAGTGCTGAAAACATACCCACCACATGTGGTAGGTCAAAAACATGCGTCCATGAAACATGTGGATCATCAACCACTGGTTTACCTTCCAAAACAGAGTATCAGCCCAGCCAGCCTGCAAGGGGAGAAAAAACAAATAAATATAATTATAAATATATTTATTCTATATTAAACATATAATATAAATATACTTATATATATATATATACAATAAATAATATATATAATAAATATAATAGTGATAATATAAAATACAACAATGATAAATATTATATATATAAATTATTATCATGCTGTCAATAAATTTTTCCAACAAATAATTTAAAATTAATTGTTTTACATTTATTAAGGACCTACTAAGTGCCACATCATACATGCTATAATTAGTAATGGAGAGATGCAAGCTTACTATACAATAAAGGGAATATAACATGTCCACAAGTCTGAAACATAGTGGAAGGTGGTAAAAACAAAGTACTCCAAGAAAATCTGAGGAAAGCTCACTTTCATGGTGCTAGAGATGGAGAGGAGAGCTGGGGATGCATCAGGGTAGGAATCTTAGAGGAGTTGGAGGCTATACAGCTTGTACACATGCAGGGGGACAGGAGTTCACAGGACAAAAGAAAAAAACAGATAGTTTGTCTAGTCGGACTACAATGTCTCTGTAATTTTTACATTTGGGGAGGGAGAATGGGAAAAAAGGCCTGAAGGGCAGGTTGGAGCCAGACTGTACCAGCTCTTAAATGACAAATTTATCCTACATGCAAACAGGAGCTACTAAAGGTTTCTGAATGACATGGCCAGAACCTGCAAATTAAGGAGAGTAATTTGGCATGTAATATGAAGGATGGATTAGACAGAAAAGAGTCTAGAGGCAGGGGGATTTTAGTTAAGAGGCTGTTATAGTAATCTAGGTGAGAAAGGATGAGGATCTCAAATAGAGTAGTGGCCAAATGAACGAGGGTGTGGATGTATAATGGCTACTATGTAGGTAGAAGTAAGACTTTTAACTGATCAGATTTTGGGGGGGAGGTGTATGAGAGGGAAAGCCAAGAATTACACGAATTATTCACAATTTTCAAGTTTTGTTACGGGCTTTGAATGACTGGATTAAGTAATTAATGACTCTTCAGGCTGATAAAAATGATGAACAAAATTTTTATAAAGTAGTTTTGCTATTTAGATAACAAAGGCCAGGCTGAGCTTCCACTAAAGTCCTCTCATGTGACAAGGAGAAATGACCCTGTCTTCTCAAAGATTACTTCTTAGAACTAGAAGGAACAGTGGTCATCTAGTCTAACCATCAAGAACTGAGGCCAAAAAGTTAAGTCTTGATCCAGGTCATACAGATGAGTAAACAGAGTCAGTCAGACCTTTGACTCCAAATCCAACACTCTTTCCACTGTATGACATGCAAGGTAGCATGCTAGGTACTGTGGTTTTAAAAAAAAAAAAGACAACTTATGTGTCTCATGAGCCCAACTAAACTCAAAGTACTTCATCACTGGGTTGACTTCAGGGTGGAGTTTTTGGATATACTATCTCCTCAGCTGTGGAGAGGAACTGATTGACTCAAGCTAGCTCCACAAAGCACTGAAGGAACAACAGCAACGCAAGAAAGCTTCCAAACTGACATCAGAAAAGTCAAGTTTTGAATAACAGGGGAGAGACTACAGGAAGGTCCATGATAATGAAGGCAGAGGCCCAGAGATGATTTGTTTTTAAAGTATCATCATTTTGGCATTATTTTCAGCCTTCTTCCTCGACTTCTTTCAAATCAGCATCCTCTCTGTCCTACTCCTGTGGTAGAAGCCCACTGATGTGGTCACCAACAAGAAACAAGCAAGCTTAACAGAGGCAACAAATACAATTTTGTTAGGCTCTCAACTTATTATGAACCCACAACATGCCTAAGCAGTTGGAAAAATAGAGACAATAAGGAAAGCTACTTACTTGCAGCACATTGACTTAAAGAGTCAAAGGGACAAGTAATTAGAAGACAAGAATACCAATAACAAACTGACTTCTTTCAAGAATTGTTTTTTGTGTGGCTGTGTGTGTGGCTGTGTGTAGGACAGTGGGTGAGAGGGACACTGTTTGAGGAAATGTCTGGCTGTCAAAACAAAATATGTATATATGTTTTTCAAAGTGCTTAGAAAGCAGACATAAAGAAACTCTGGTTAAAATTTTTAGAAGGCAAGGTAAAAGGTCAGGGACTATTTCTTTTCGGTCTGCATTTCCAGCTTCTAGTTGAGAAGACTCAGTTTATCTATCACATAGAGGAAGGATTAGGCTTGAGGGCAGAACCAGGAAGAATAAGTAGAAATTGAAAAGAGTAAAATTTAAGCTGGATGTTGAGAATAACTTCCTGACAATCAGAGCTTTCCAAAAGTTGAACTGGTTTCCTAAAGGTTGATGGCTTCCCCCACCTTGAAGATCTTCAAGCAAGGGCTGGACAACCATTTGCCAAGTTATGATTTAATGGGGATTCCTTTCATATATGGATTGGATTGGATTGGATGGCCCCTAAGGGAGGTAACCTGCAACTCTGCCACCTATGATGCTTCCCTGGGCAAATCACTTAACTTCCCCATTTCCTTGCCCATAAAAGAAGGGAGAGAGTTGAACTAGAAGATCTCTAAAGTCCTTTACATTTCTGCAACAATCATCAAAAATAACATCATGTTGGAACAATTAAGGTTCATTTTAAAACCATAATTTCTCTGCCTTTGTTACAAGGTAGTAAGAATTTCTATTATAAGCAGACACAGGCAGGATGGTCAAGCTAAAGTACTGAATCAGTTATTAAAAATTAATGAACTTTATGATGCAAAATGACAGAAATCCTTCCATCTCAATAAGGGAGAATATGTGTGTGTGAGAGTTTGGGGATCTCAAACATCAGATTTTATCAAGATATAGCTTTAGAACTGGAAGACATACGGATTCTGTAGTCTATGCCCATTATTTTCCAGAGCTTTTTAATAAGTACTTCATGATCTATATAAGTCTTACAGAATTTTAGGACTAGAAAAAAATTAAGAAAATCTAACAATGCTTTCAATTCATAGGTGAGGAAATTGTGGCTCAGAGAAGCAAAGTTCTAAGATACCCAAGGTAACAAATGCAGTAAAGTAGCTAAATCTGGATTTGAACTCACATCTTAATTCAGGAGCCAGTGCTCTTTGTATTACAAGAATTTTTTTCCCTTCTACTCTCTTAGTCTTCCCATTTGGGGTTGCTCCTCTCATAGGATTCTAGGTATAGACATAAATAAAATGGAATCAAACAGAAGTGAACACTGCTAAGCACACTGCTCTCCAGAGGAGCCTAGATGCTAAGCCACTAGAGCACTGGATGACAATCTGCATAGGATTTTAAGCTTTAGAAAGTGCTTTTCTCATAGCTGGTCTCACTTTACAGACAAGACACACAGAAGTGATGTGACTATTCCAATGTCATACATTAATTGTCAGGGTCAAGACACAAACTCAGGACCTGACTCCAAATGTAGTGCTATTTTGCATGAAGGAACTTAATCTCTCTGTCAGTTGCCTCATTTAAAGGATGGGGCTAACAACACCTGTAGTATATCTACCTTAAAAGGTTCTTGTATATGTAAGGGCTACAAAAATGGCAATTTCTATAATTAGCCCCTCTCTTTAAATTTCCTTGCTGTGCCCTTCACCTTGTCTTGACACCCCTAGGTAGCATAATAAGTGTCACGCCTTCAACGAGAAGCACTTACCTTTAAAAGCATCCAGGAGATGCAGGTAAAAGGGGTGCTCATTTCCAGTAGCAGGGTTGTCATGGCTAGATAGTGGCCAGCTTTGAGACTGACCACTAACCCAAGAAATCCAAGAAAGGCAAAAAGATGATGGACTACTAAGAACATGTCAAATGTCCAGAAAACCAAATTTGACACATGAACAGCAGCATTTTCAAAGAAAAAGAAGCCAGTTGCAGTTGCAATATTAAACCAACACCAGTTCTGCTGTGAATATGCTTTATCAGCAGAAAGAACAGGGTCCCCAAGCAAAGCCCACAGACCAGCAATGGAGCTTTGAACTCCAAAAACTGCTCGGGTGGCAGCAAGATTCCAGAAGACCTTCTCCTTAGCTACCAGAGATCGATAGGTGGCATTAAGACAGGAAGAGAGCTGATGGCAGACCACAAAGACACCCAGGTAGAAGAAAAAACCGGCCACCACTAATGTTAAACGGATTTTCCATGAAGCATAGTCCATGTCAAAAATGCTTTTAGATGCCGTACTGTCACTTTCAAGATTCATTTTTCTACTTCAAATTTTGGCGATGTCGGATACAGTTCAACCACTTTTTAGTCTAATGCCAAGGCCTTCTTTTCTGGCTTCCAGGATCCTCATAAGTCTCTCTTTAATCTGAAAAAAAGAAAAAATAGTTCACTAATAAGGACCAAGTGGAATCTGGAACACAAAACTACTGTGCTTCCCTATGGCATTAAAATACCATATACCATTTTGTAAAAGAAAAAATAAGGAATGTAAAATCATGTTCCCAAATAGGTGAGTTCATTTTATGCCTAACCACCTGGACTAGATGGTTTCTAATCTGAGGTCCAATAAATCAACAAACAGTAAATCCTGAAGATAAAAATATAGAAACCCGACAATTCTTGACCTCAAGGAGCTTACTACTAAATTCACTCAAACTCTTTGAAGCTCTTCCCATGATTCTATGAAGGGTTGGTAAAAGAAGTAAGGAAGGAAACAAGCATTTGCTTACTATGTTCCAGGCACTGTGCAAAGCACTGGGAATACAATAACAGCTAACATTTATTATTTTAAAGTTTGCAAAGTGATATGTGTTCTTATTTCATTTTTACAACCCTGTGAGGTAGGCACTATACTATCCCTATTTTAGAGATAGGGAAACTAAGGTTTGCCCAGGATCACACAGCTATTAAGTGTCTGAGGGAGAAGAGAACTCACCTTCCAGACTCCAAGTCCAGTGCTGTGTCCACTGCACCAACTAGCTGTCTCTAATATTAAAAAGAAAAAAAAAGGCATAAACAGTTTGGGCTCTCAAGGAGCTCACAGGAAGAAAACATGTAAACATCTATGCACCAACAAGAAATACACAAAATAATTGTGAATAGTCTCAAAGAGAATGCACCAGAATTAAAGGAATAGGGAAAGGTTTCTGGAAGGTGGGACTAACTGTCTTAAAAGAATTGAGACAGCCAAAAAGCAGGGATGTGGGAGAGAATTCTGGGCATGGAGACTAGCCAACGAAAATGCACTGAGTCTGGAGTGAAATATCTTGTTCCAGCAAGCAGGCCAGTGTCTCGGGATAGTAGAGTAAATGGAGGGAAGTAAAGTATAAGAAGTCTGTAAAGTGTGAATGGCGAAGGTGTGATATGAAGGGTTTTAAAAGTCAAGCAGGATTTTATATCTGATCCTGGAATAATAGGGAGCCATTGAAATTGAATGAGGAGCAGCAGAGGGTGTGTGTGTGTGTGTGTGTTGGTAAGAATTATGCTTTAATGCCACTCTGATAGCTGGCTAGAAACAGAGAGAGACTTGGATCACAGAAACCAAACAAGAGATAACTGCAATAGTACAGATATAATCTGCCTGTACCAAGATGGTAGCAATTTCTGAGAGATGTTGTAAAGGTAGAATTGATAGGATTTGGCAACAAATTGGATGGGGGGTGTGGGTGTGTGTGAGAAGAGGGATGGATGCCAGTGAGGAGCTGAGGATGATACCTAGGATGCCATCCTCAGTAACTCCAAGGATGGTGGTATCCTGGACAGCAACAGGTAAATTTCAAAGAGGGGAGAGTTTGAGGGGGAATAAGTTTAGTTTTGGACATGTTGAGTTTTAAGAAGTCTATGTGACATTCTGTTCCAAAATATCCAATAGGCAGATGGAAACAACAGACTGGAGGTCAAGAGAGTTTAGGGTTGGAGAAATAGATGGAAGAATCATCTGTAAAGAGATAATGATTGAATCCATGGTGAGATCAACAAGAGAAACAGCAGAGAGGGAGCAAAGGGCCCACAACCAACCTTGGGATACAACCAAAGTTAGTGGATATGATGAAGATCCAGAAAAGGAGACTGAGAGAACAAGGAAAAATGTACTGTCAGAAAAACTGAGTGTCAAGGAGAAGAGTGTGATTGACAATATCAAAGTATAAAAAGAGGTCAAGGAAGATGAGGATTGAGAAGCCTATTAGACTTGGCAAACAAAAGATTCATTGCTAACTTTGGAGAAAGTAGTTGGCAGTCTAGTAAAATCTATGGACTTTTTCTTAGGATGTTTCTAAATGTATAAAGTATACAGAATTATAAAACAATTATGTTAAAACAGTAGTCAAAATATTTTTTTAAAAGTTCACTGACCCAATTTTAATGTCACTTCATCTAAGGTCCAGCAGCTAGGTGGCACAGTAGATAAGAGTAACACCTGAGTTCAAATCCAGCCTCAGACACTTACTGTGTGATCCTAGGTATGTCATTTAACCCTTTTTGCCTCAGTTCCTCATCTGTAAAATGAACTGGAGAAGGAAATGGCAAACCAATTTGCCAAGAAAACCCCAAATAGGGGTCACAAAGAGTTGGATACTACTGAAAATGATTGAACCACAAAAATTCCTGACTCTAGGTCCATCACTATATTTACTATGTCGCCTTGCTGTCTCCACCTTTTTTTTGGTTTTGTTTTGTTTTTTGTCTACGCAATGGGGTTAAGTGACTTGCCCAGGGTCATACAGCTATTAAGTGTTATGTGTCTGAGGCCACATTTGAACTCAGGTCTGCCTGAATCCAAGGGTGGTACTCTATTCACTGCGCCACCTAGCTGCCCCTGTCTCCACCTTTTAATCAAATCAACACTTCAACTACTACTGAAAAGAATATATTAACTCTCTAATAGCACTATTTACCACCTTTGTGATTTACTACAATCTCTCTCTCTCTCTCTCTCTCTCTCTCTCTCTCTCAGAACCCTTTGGTATACTTCTACTTCCAGCTTCTTAAGCCAATTCAAACTAAGTCCTTAGGGAAAGGCTATAAATAAATTTAAGTTCGGGATAATAAAATAAATTAGGCCTATAGTTTCACTGATTAAATCAATTGAACTAGGAATCATTTTTGTATCTTAAGATTTTTAAATTACATCTGAAATGACACTATCACAGTAAGTGACATAAATGAACACTTGCAAGTCACCAAATACAGTTAAGTAATCACCTGCCCCACTACTGAGCCAAAATAGGACTGTATTAGAAATGTTTCTGAGTGTTGACAATGTTGAACTCCCAGTGGGTATCAAAAGAAAATGGCAGCTTAATAGATCTTTCACGTGATTAATTCTTTAAAACTCATCTTCCTATAGAAGCCACTGGCTAACATCTAGCTCTATGTTCCTTCTGAGCGCCCAGAACTGTCTAGTGCCTGATAAAACTGTGAAGTACCTGATGTCTTTCCCACAACAGGTTGGTGAAAGTGGCAATCCTGCATGTGTTGCAACTGAAATCTAAATACTGAAACAAGTTCAAAGTGATCTAAAATTGAAACTTCATCCCTTCAATCACCAATTCAGTCTCTTAAAACTGCAAAACCACCCCAGAAGCCTAATAAAATCTCACAGTCAAAAGCACCTTGGCCTTCTGGAAACTGAATAATCTCTTCCATATATATGCATGCATGTATGCAAATATATGTGTGTGTATGTATGTAAATGTACATATACAACTCACTATTTTTCAGATGTAAGTAAATGCTGTTGTGATTAATAAAATAGACAAGCTAAAAGTGTTACTGAACTCAAAGAAACTTTTTGTCTTCATGTATTTTCTCAAAGATTACTGAGAGTACAATTTACTACCAAGTACAGTGGCTGAGAGAGAGAGGAAGGGATGTCTGGAATTTTCTGACATTAAAAAGGGGTCCTCATAAATAAAAACAACATGGCATAGGAGAGGGCAAGTCTTACAGTCAGGAAGTACTCTTTTGATCCATACTGAGGTTGTGACTCACAATTTCTCAAAGTCCTAGGCAACGCTCAAAGAACATAAATTAAAAGATGAGTTACTGACATGCATTTTGGACCCTGAAAAAAATTAGGTCTTGACCAAACAAAACTAATACTCAAAAATGTTGAAAACTTTTCCTACACTAGGCTGCCTTATCTATATTTTGCATCTCTTCCAGCTCCTAGCAAAAGGTTTTGCCCAAATAAGTGCTTAATAAATGTTTAATTTACTGGCTAAAGTCACCCATTGAGGTGGCAACAGGGCCAGGAACTGATTCTGTGACTCCTGTGTCTCAGTTTAGTGCTCTTTCCAATACACCCACTTTGATTCTGGTGGAAAGTCTTCTTTTCATTTTCCATAAGCACTTGGTTGTATGTTTAAAATATCAAAGGTCAATTAGTCAAAATAATCTTCATGATTTTCTCTTTTCTGGATTTCTTTGTAAGGATTCATCTCCCCCATGCCTGGAATGCACTTTCCTTCCTTACTGTACTTCAGAATCTAGCTGTGTGACCCTGGGGAAGTCACTGAACCCCACTGCCTTGCAAAAACAAACAAACAAAAAACCAAAACTTCAAAATCTCTAGCTTCCTTCAAAGTTCAAATTAAGCCCCTCGTCCTATAATCTGTCCAGATTTCCCCCTCCCAATTGGTAGTGTTCTCTACTTAGAAATTGTTTTTTGAAAAATTTTGCATTTGAACTTTCTATGTATTTCTCTCCAATAAGATGCAAATTCCTTGAAGGGACTATTTTTTTTTCTTTTAGTTTTCATATCCTTAGTTCCTTGCACAATGTCTGGCTCACAGCAGATACTTTCTACAGAATGACTGAGATGAATAAGCATGTGATTTTAAACTAACCATAAATATACACAATACAATAATGTAAGTTGAAAAAAACTATCAACCAGAAAATAACTGAAAATGAATGTTGTAAAATTACAAAGACCAAGCTTGACCACAAAGAGCTATGAACACTACATAATGTCAGATTGGTTTTGCTTAACTCCTCCTGCCCCCTTCCTATTTTTAAAAAATTATTATAAGGAAAGGGTCTTTGGGAGGAGAGGAAATAAAGGGGGAATGATCCAGAAGGGAGGAAAATAAGATCAGAAGCAGAGATAACAGACTGTTGTTCTGTTATGTCCAGCTCTTTGCAATCCCATTTGGGGTTTCCTTGGCAAAGATACTAGAGCGATTTGTCATTTCCTTCCCTAGCTCATTTTACAGATGAGGAACTGAGGCAAAGAAGGTTAAATGACTTGCCCAAGGTTAATGTCTGAGGCCAGATTAGAACTCAGGAAGATGAGTCTTCTTGATTTAGGCCAGGCCCTCCATTCACTGGGCCATCTAGCTACCCTGATCAACCTGATTAAGC